GTTCTTATTCGTCATGGTGATGGATGAGCTGACACAACACATTCAAACACATTCAAGGGGAGGTACCTTGGTACATGTTAATTGCAGATGACATAGTTCTCATTAACAAGACACGAGGCGGTGTTAACACTAGGCTGGAGGTTTGGAGGCACACTTTGGAATATAAAGGCTTCAGATTAAGCAGGACTAAGACAAACTACATGGAGTGCAAGTTCAATGACGTGACTCAAGAGGCTAACATAGAAGTGAGGCTGGATACACAAGTCATCCCAAAAAGGAAGTTTCAAGTATCTTGAGTCTATTATCCAAAGAAATAGAGAGATTGAAGATGATGCCAGACACCGTATTGGAGCGGGTAGATGAAATGAAGGCTTGTATCCGGCGTCATGTGTGATAAGAAAGTACCACTGAAGCTTAAAGGTAAGTTCTAGAGAGTAGTTATTAGACCGACTGTTATATGGGCACAGTGTTGGTCAGTTAAGACCTCTCATGCGCAGAAGATGAATGTAGCGAAAATGAGAATGCTGAAATGGATGTGTGGACCTAATAAGAAAGATATGATTGGGAATGAAGTTATTCGGGACAAAGTGGGAGTGATCCCCGTTGTGGACAAGATGCGGGAAACGAAGCTAAAATGACTCGGGCATGAGAAAAGGAGATGCACAGATGCCACGATGAGCAGGTGTGAGAGGTCGGCTATAGTGGGGCCAAGGAAAGGTAAAAACAGGCAGAAAAAGTATTGGGGAGAGGTGATTAGGCCAGACATGGCACATCTTAAGCCCGAGGACATGATCCTAGATAGGAGAGAGTAGAGGTCGAGGATTAGGGTAGTAGGTTATTGAGTAATCGAGTGTTATTCTTTTTCATATCTATATTGTTTTCTTATACTTGTAGCACTGACATATTCTCGTATTTCCTATTCTTAGATGTCTAATATTACCTATCATTTCTTTTAATTCGGTTATCTTATATTTTTTGGCTATAGTTACTGCTTTTCTTTACATGGATTCTTCTCTTTACTTGCATTCTTTGAGCCGATGATCTATCAGAAACGGCATTTCTACCTTCACAAGGTAGGGTAAGGCAGTGTTGTGAAAAGCGCTCGCTTCAGCGCTTTAAACGTGAAGCAAAGCGTAGCGGCCAGTGTGTCGATTCTGTTGGGTGAAGCATAAAAGGTGCTTGGAAGCGGCTACTTCTGCCAAAAGCGTGAAGCGATTAATGCGCTCGCTTCTGTCTTGTAAGTGGCACTGCCAACGGTACTTAAATGAAAAAAATAAAAAATCTCAGTCTTTTTTTACAAAATCAGCGAGCAGCGGAGCAAGCAACAACTAGGGTTTCAATTTTCATCGATCTTTTCTTCTTGCTCCTCCTCATCAGCCTCCCCCTTTTCCTTTCAGTGCTTAAAATAGCAGCAAAATGCTGCCAAATCTTTTTTTTTCCTTCAGTTGTTCTTCTTGTTCTCATTCTCTTATTCTTCTTTTTATTTTTGTTTCAGTCCTTAAAATTGCAGTGAAATGCTGCCAATTTTTTTTCTTTCTTAAGTTCTTCATCTTTGTTCTTACGGCCAATTTTTTCTTTTTTTGCAGATTCTTAAGTTGTTCTCTTAATGGCACCAAAAGAAGATAGGAAACATCTCGCTTGGGCTTATTCTGAAAAAGCTAGATTATAGTATTTATTCTAGTATTTTTTTTAATTCCGCTTCACTTCAAAAAAGCGAGCACTTCGCGTCTCGCTACATGCTTTAAGCAAAAAGAGGCTTGTCACTTTTCCTCACTTCACGCTCTTTACAACACTAAGGTAAAGTTTACGTACACACCACCCTCCCCAAATCCCACTTGTGGGACAACACTGGGTATGTTATTATTGTATTAGTGACTAGAACAAGGAAATCAGAAAATTTATTGTGAACCTTAGAAATTATAATATCATAGTGTTCTGTGAACCCATGACGCAATTTCTAAAAAAATTCTTAACTTCAAAGTGCATATGTATGTACCATTTGTTTAATATAACTAGAATAGGTATATCAAATGTATAGAGATATCATTCATTGAACTTGAAGGCATATACTCTTGTAGGTTTATGATTCCAATAGGCTGATCACAATTAACTTTTTTTAAGCTAAATGATCCAAAGTTTACTTATTTCCTTATAGTGAGGGATACCTCTTCTTGCCTTGCAATTGTTGATTCTCTATTACTAATGCTATCATTTTCTTTTATGAGGAATTATTTATATAATCTTTTTCTTCTTCCAAACCAACAGAGAGCACTATTAACCTTCAATTACAAGACTGCTAAGTCAAGATTGGATAAAGTACACTCGAAATATTACAGCTTCAAAAGCTTAGAAACATGTAATGCAAAAAAAAGGAAAATTTGTTCACCTCTAGACCTTCGGAAGTGATCAAATGAATCTCAAGTCGCGTACATTTCCTAATAAAAATTAAAACGAGAAAAGGGTTAACATTAGTCCAATGTTCAAACAAAAATGAATAGCTAAATAAAAGAATAACCAGAAAAAACTCTCAAGGAGCATACTAACGTTAAATTGTAGAAATCCAAATTATTGGATTCGGAGGACCCAAAATACTAAGAAATGAAATCATTATATTTCAAAACTGCAAAGTTACTGCTCCTTCGGTAACACCGACCCAGTTAGAATTAATTCATTAAACACAAGTAACTAATAAAGCAAACAGGGGGGAAGGGGAGGAAACAATTCAAATGCAAATAAAAGTTAGGGCATACGCAATGATAAGATTGAGCTGTGCAGGAGATGTGAAATTGCCAACACAGGAATGTGTAACGTTCGTTGGCTTGTGAACCGTAACCACATAGTTCCAATCCCTCATTTTTGTACCTAATCCCTCTAACCAAAAAACCCGAAGATCTGCTGTTCTAACCACAAAACCCTAAGACCTGCTCCTCTAACCACAAAACCCTAAGTCTTTTTCTTTCTCTCATATTATAATGTTATATATAGTGTGTGTATGGCAAACCCTAGTCTCTCGTTCGCACGTGTAAACCAAGGTATTCAGTAAAAGTTTTTTGAAAAACTTCGTGCATATTTTAATTCATGTTTATTTATATTCTTGTTCTATCTCTTTATATATACTAGTTTCTCGACAAGTCGAGTCATTGGTTAAATAGTTTTATAAAATAATATTAATATTATTAAAAGAAAACTTTAAGTAAATAATTATAAATGAGATAATAACATATAAAAAATTTATCAATGTGGACTGTTGTAGTGATTTGTTGCCGAGATAAAACAATTGTATTTTGTTTGAACCTACTAAGGTGAACAATCAATTTGACTCAATACATATTATGTATTCAATAATTTGCCTTTTTTAATTGAAAACTGCATTATCTATTTGGCGACTAATATTAAAGGCCTAAAAATGCCTTTGTGCCTTTCCTCTGCACTATTGTTATTATCATATACTCCCTCTGTTCCAGTTTATGTGAACCTATTTCTTTTTTGGTCCGTTCTAAAAATAATGACCCATTTCTAAATTTGGTAACAGTTTAACTTAAACTTACAATTCTACCATTAATGAGAAGCTTTTATAACCACACAAATACTTTGGGCCCCTTTTTGACTTGTTTAGGACCACAAATTCCAAAAGTCTTCATTTTTTCTTAAACTCCATGCCCAATCAAACATACAACAACAACAACAACAACCCAGTATAATCCCACTAGTGGGGTCTGGGGAGGGTAGTGTGTACGCAGACCTTACCCCTACCCTGGGGTAGAGAGGCTGTTTCCAATAGACCCTCGGCATCCTTCCCTCCAAGAACTTCCCACCTTGCTCTTGGGGTGACTCGAACTCACAACCTCTTGGTTGGAAGTGGAGGGTGCTTACCATCAGAGCAACCCACCTTGTCAAAGCCCAATCAAACATGTTCACATAAATTAGAACGGAGGGAGTATATATTTATATCTATATTCTCTATATCTTTCTGTTTATATTTATCTATCTATCTATCTATATATCTATATCTACCTATCTATCTATTTATATCTATGTATCTATATCTACCTATCTATCTATATCTACCTATCTACAGTCAAACCTCTCTATAACAGCCTCGTTTGTTCCGGGTATTTTTGGTTGTTATAGTGAGGCGGTGTTGTAGAGAACATATATTATAATATAACATGAAAATTAGTTCCGGAAAAAGTTTGACTTTTATAGTGAAATGTTGTTTTATAGGGATGCTGTTATAGATAGGTCTGACTGTATTTATATCTATACTAGTCTTAGGATACCCTATCTCAATAAGTACAAAATTTTAAAAATAAATATTATAGTAAACTTTGTGCATAAGTTATAAAATAAAAGTTAAAGAAAAGAAAGTTCTTGAAAATGTTGAATATTAATCATATTTGTTAACTCAATAAAAGAAGATACTATGGCCCATGAAAGTTCTCAATCATCCCTGCCAAATGCCAATATATTCAAACTAACATATGCTCTAAATTTAATTATTTAGTTACTTTAATTTCAAAAGTTATCATGCTTTCATTTTAATATTTGTAAAAACATGTAGCCTTAAAGAATTAAGGATTTTTCTAAAAGAAATAAAATTGAAAACCCATTCTAAAAGGCACAAATAGGATCAGTTAACTTAGACGTCTTCTTTGTAGCTGAATAAATTGCAATTCGTTCTTTGTAGTTTTGATTTGATAGATAAATGTTGTCTGAATAAATTTTTAAGGAAAGTTCAATAGTTAAATTCATTGAAGTGCATAGATGATTATTACCTTTTGGTTTACTAAGGAAAGAAATTGCAATTTTCTTGCAGCTCAATGAGGGAAAGAAAAACCACAATGAGTGCTGGTCTGGCAAAAATGGTTTTGTTGATTTTTCAACATCTTCTATACCCTCCTCTTCAGTATCTACATCAACGTCCCCAATCCTATATCTCTGAACAATATGTTGAAGAGATAAAAATACTACAACAATTGAATAATAAGCATAACTAAGAAAAATAGTTTATAATTGATCTGTGTTGATTCCCAAACCAAAATACAAATGCCAATCAAATGTCCACAATATTAGTATCATATTCAATACTAAAGC